GATTTTTGGGGAGAAACCAAGGTGGTTTTCTGCCACAGATGGAACCTATTCCTTTTTCTAAAGGACTCTATGGTTTAGTATCTGCTTGCCATTGGGCTTGTGAACTTGCCCTCTGTAGATGTCACTAGCCTCTCCTGTGCATAGTTAATTATATTTGTTTATAATTAAAAACCACATGTCAACACCAGCTTCTCTCTCCTCAGTCACCTAGATCTCCAAGTTAAATTGTGGGTAGATCATACGAGTGTGGATTATCACCACCATCCAAATGCATATTTAGTGGCATGAGTAGCAATATGAGTAAGCAGAAGGGGGCAAAGTCAGTTTTGAATTCCTGTCTTGTGCATTTTACGTCTCCAACCTAAGGTTACTGTTTAATACGGTGAAGGAAATGAATGCATTTACAAGCAAGTTATAGGTCATTTTAATTATTTATATGGAAATTAGCATTGACAACCATCAGACAAACAAAAAAACCTTCTTTAATGATGTATTCTTCATTAAATTGAATACCAATTCTAATTCTCATTTTGTTTGTGCCAGTGTTAGTCAGTTTACTTGAAACACCACTCTCAGGCTTTTATTGAAGCTGCAAGGGGAAATTTGATGATGGAATATGAGAGGAACAAATACTAATCCAATTATTGTGCTCAAATATCTTTTATCAAAATGAAGTCAAGCAAGTGAAACATCTTCCATGTCCTCTCTGAAAATCTGTAGACTCCTACAGTCCAGATTTGCCTATTAAAATGTATAAAACATTCAAATGTAGCTTAGAGTGAATATATGGGATAATTTGATATCGGCTGTGCTTATATAAGATTTGGATCAACTGATTGCAATGTATTCATTAAACTGTAATTGTTCTGTAAGCATAAAAATTGTGCTTAGGGTAATATATTAAAATTAGCCAATTGCCCATCAAGAATGGTGGGGGGAGGGGGCTGGGATGGAGTGCTGCCACCTAACCCCCCATGCTGCCACTGTTCTGCCTCTTGCAGGGACCGGGGTCGGGGAGCCAAGGCCAGTGCTGCTGGCCTCAGCTCCCCTACCACCTGTCCAGTCCTCAGCACTGCTTTGGAGTCATGGCGGTGCTCCCGCATGCTTGGAGCATTCGGATTGCCTGTTTCCATCAGCCAATCAGAGCACAAATAAAGTGTTACGGACAGACAGACAGATTTTATAATATTAGAATTTAAAGGGTTTAGAAATGTTGGAACAAGAGTTTAATTTTTGTTGTTGCAATCAAAGGTAGATTTGTCAACTTTTTTTTCTTTTAAAACAATATTGGATCACATTCAGATCTTGTTTAAGTAGATGGCACTTGTGTGGATGATTGGGCCAAATTCAGGAAGAGAGAACCAGTAATGCATATGGTGTTTAGCAAGTGTGCAAAACAACTAACAGAGTGGGAAGGTGTAGCAGATTGTCAGTTTGAACAATACTGTCTTTTATTTCCCTGAGCAAACTTGGCCCACAGGGCACAGCATAACCCATAAACCAAACACATGCATAACCAGTTATCCCAAATCTTATGGCCTTTTCCCAAACTGGGACAGTGCTCTGGCTCAGTGCTGCAGCCTCTAGCCTCTAGCTTCACAGTCCTCCTTCTCTCTCCATCTCCCAAGGAAGAAATCTGGGAGCTTTCAACATCCTCTGAGACAGCCAATTATCTTTCTCATCTGGCCCAGTCCTCCTAGGCAGGCTTGTAATCGCTTTCTTACTGCCTGCAGCTGGGCTGCAGCCCCTGAGACTTGCAGCCTGCTACACATCCCTCCCACCCCCAAAGAGCAGAACACACTTCCATTTTTTTTATTTCCCTTCCTCTGCCACCCACTTCTTACACTTATGGTTGGGGAGAGTTAGTAATTCATGGCCCTTTTTTTTCTCACCAACACCACTGACTTAGCTTACCAGCCTTTAGTTCCCATGACCTCATGGTTTCTGGTTCCCATGAGCTCCTCTCATCTAGCTCAGGGCCAGCCTTTCCCTTTACAGTAAGTATAGTCCCTCATCTCTCCCCAGTAATCCAGCCCCCCGGTCTTGAGTCTTTCTTTTCTCTAAGGTTTATAGTGGGTTTCCCACTGGGTCCATACCCTCTCACAATGTTCTTTATGTCCCAGAGTGATTGTAGCCCCACACCAGTTTCTGTGTGGCTGTCTCCATAAGGTGTTCTCTCTTTGTCCATCTTGACCCATGTGGTTCTGCCCCATAACTATTCATCAAAAAAGCCTATTACTTGAGTGGCTTTCCCAAGGTGGTCAACGCTGACTGTTCCCATGCTGTGGGTCTTTCCTTCTGTGTTTCTCCACATGTTGGCATACCTTGTGATTCCTGCCATTTGGAACACTCACTTCAGATCTCTCCAGTCACCCTTGAAGCTTAAATTGTTTACAAACATGATAAACTTAGGCTGTCAGCCCTCATGTCCCTTTTAGCCACCCTGGTGTTGGTATTACTTTTTTGGACTGCTGTTGCTGATGCTGGCACCATCATCTCGTTTGGCTTCACCTTTATCTCGGTAGAGCCTGAGGCAGGTCATTCCTGGTATCTGTTTTCCACTCCCCATTCCTGGGGACTCCTCAGGCCTCACCTCTGGCTCATAGCCACTATTGAGCTTGGTGGGTACGCTGTGTGCAGTCTCGATCAGTGATTCCTGCTTGGGTTTACCTGTCTCCTTTAGTGAACCCCCAGACCTCTTCTGTACCCTGAAGTCTCCCACTCCCATGTGTGCCCATCAGGGTCTGCTCCCCTCTTTTCCTCTTTTTTTTAGGGTATTCTCTCCTCAACCAGTTTCTTGGGCCACCGGTTGGGAGTACTAACCTTCCCTGCCTCATTAGGGGGGATACCTTCCTGGATTGGAGGTGCATTGTTATTAATTCATGGATAACCATAAGCCTACCACCCAGGAACCCCACCATTGAGTTCACCATGCCATGCCTTTTCAAGGGGCATATCTGGTCTTCCTGAGGTTTGGATGTTCACTTTCTGGTGGGCCTCAGAAGCTGGAAGCAGGTGCCAGGAAACTGGTGCCAGAGTCCCAAGCGCTGGGGCAGGAGCTGCCCAGCTGAAACTTTCTCCCCCACCACCTGCCCAGAACAGCACAGCAGAGGCAGGAACAGGAGGAGCGGCAGCAGCTGCAGCTGGAGGCTCGGGGAACAAGAACAGCTGTGCCAGCCTGGAACCTGGTCAGCGCACGCAGCTTCCAGTGGGGCTGTTCCCAGTGCAGCTGCAGCTGGCTGGGTGCAACTCTGCTCCCCTTGCCTCCAGTGGGGGCTCCTCCTCCTGCTTTTGCCCCTGCTGCACTGCTCCAGGTGAGTGGGGGCAGGGGAGATTCAGCTCGGTGGCTCAGTTTGGTGGCTCCCGGTGAAGGTGAGAGGAGCAGAGCAGCACCTGTCTGGCTGCAGCCTCACTGGGAACAGCTCTGCCAGAAGCTGTGTGCTCGCCAGGGTCAGGGCTAGTGGGTGTGGGTGGGAGCCCAGCATGGGCTGACCTAGGTAGGGCTTGGACCTATGTAGAGCGCTATGGGGGCAGCTGCAGATTAGGAAAGCTCTGCTGCACACACATCCTGCTTCCCTTCACCCCCAGCTGGCTCTTAGGCAGCCTCCCCTACACGCACACAAGCCCCCGTCACACACCCCCATACACCGCCACTCAGAGGGCAGGGCAAGTAGTGAGTGGATCATGCGTGTTCCACTTCTGAATACTGTTCCCTGTCAAGCCAAAGCCCCAAGAGATATTACAATCCAAATAGACAAGGCAAAGAAGGAATAGAACACAAAAACAGGCTGAATTATATCATGGGAAACATGTTAGTCCCACTATATTTAAGGGGTTTTTTGTTTTAGGTGTTGTCAAGCAAGCTTGATACTATCTTCTTTGTGACCATGCTAATTGACATTAACTATATTTTCTGTATTATCAACATGTTGTTCTTTCATCTGGAATCTGTGCCAGGCTTATAGTTATGCATATCTTCCTATTTCCCTTTTTAAGTACTGTATAAACACGTTTTCTTTCTTCTGCTCCTACTTTCTGTTGGAGATATGTATGTATGAAAAAATTATGCAACATCTTAATGCTATATATGGAAAGAAATGATTTGGATGAAAGACTGGTATTTCTAAGGGAGCAGAACAAAGGCAGTTTAGGTGACTTGCCAGACAGGTGCTTAACTTTGCAGTATCTATATTTCTAAACTATTTTTCTTGAGAAAAAACCCACAAAAAAGGTATAAACCCAGGTTTTTATTGATTGTTCACCACTTAATATTGCGTTATTCATAGTTTTGCAGTGAACAAGGACCCTTTATTTATAGTGTGAATTAGAATTCGTACCTTGGATTGCAGAAGCAATTTTTGGCCTTTTTAGTTTGTTTTAGGTTTTTTGAATGAAGAAGGAAAAAACTTAAAATGTGATCTCTTTGGAGTAGAAAGCATTGAATGTATTTTGCTTTTCTTTGCAGGCTGGCTTCATCATTTTTCAAAAACTGGAATATATAAATAATGATGATCAGAAGCTATTCGGTATAAGAAGTGGTAAGTTAACATTAAAAGCTTAAGGAATGTGTTTTCTTTAATTTAATATTAAATTACTTGGCAGGATTTTTAGTAGCATCTCTTTGTGATTCCAGAGGTGTTTTTCTAGAATTAAACTGTGTGCAGTGAAAGCATTCTATACATGTTCTCATTTTATCAGTATTGTAGTGTCTGAGTGTTTTTTCAGAGGTATATAAAGTGGTGTGAGAGTGCAGCCTCATGAATTTGTTTTTGCTTGAGTTGTATGAGGAAGTACTCTGAGTTTTCATTCTCATTTTTGTTTGTTCTGGCAGTCCATTATGGCATCAGATGCTTGAATAAATAGTTTGTCACCTTGTGAGTTCCAGCATATTTATTAGCACCTCATGAACCCAGATGAAGAAAGGCATGCCATAGCTTCTCCCACAGTTTCTTTCTCTATAGGATATCTGACACAGCTATACTGTTTTCTTAGGGGTTTAATATATCCTAAGGCATATGGCAGAAGAAATTTTGGCTCTGTCCCTGTGGCACACAGCATTTGTTTTTATTGGTATGTGGAGTACTGCTTTTGAGGAAGGAATTTCACAGCTGATTTCTCTGAGGTAGCATCAGTTCCACTAAGTAAAAGGTCTCATTCTAGATTTTTTTTAAAAGCTTATTACCCAGTGGTTCCCATATTTATATGTCTGTATGTGGTCTGATCTTCAAACGATCTTATTTTCTATTCATTTTTTCTGAAATATTAAGTCAAACTAAAAACCTTGATGTCACCCTTTGAATGTGCCCTTCATAGGAAAAACTGGATTCATATATAGAAAAAGATTTTATTCCATTTCTGTGTAGGCAGCAGCATTATTTCTCTTGCAAAAACATGTAACAGTACTCTTTTTGACCATGAAACTTTATTGTTGTGATCTCTGCTTAGCAAAGGGGTTGGCAAAATGTGGGCCTGATTTGGCCTGCCAAGGGATTCAGTCTGACCCACGGCAGGTCCCTTGGCCCCCCGGCATTACAGCTGGACTTGGCTTCTTGGCAGCCCCCATGGTGGCAGCTCACTTTGCCCAGTTTCTGCTGCTTGTGTCTCTGCTGCCGCCAGACCAACCTCACTGCCTCTTCCTAGACACCCTAGCCCATCCACCCTGCACCCACTGTCAGGGGTGTCAGACAGAGCAGGCAGGGGGGGTCTCCATGAATACCAGCCTGAAACCCCTGTGGGCAGGGCACACTTGGCTGGGTAGACGGGATGGGTCCACAAACGGGTGGTGAGTGGTATCTGGGAGCAGGCCAGGATTGTGGAGCAGAGACAGGACAGGATCGAAGCCTGGGGCAGAGCCACAATTTGCTTCCTACATGTCGCTGCCTGCAGAACTGATGCCCATCCCAAGGATGTGCAGGGAGCTGATTATGGCTCCATCCCAGGCCTGGTCTGGCCCTGCACTGTCGTCACCCTGCAATCTCGGCTCTGCCTGCCTGTCCCGCTCTTGGATGCTGCTCCCCGCCTGCCCTCAGCCCCGTCCTATCCACCCCGCTGTGCGTGCCTTTCCTGTAGGGGTCTCATGCTGGTCTCAGTGGAGACCCTGCCTGCCTGCTCCATCCAGTGCCCCTAGTGGTGTGTGTGGGGCAGACTGTCCCAGGGCTGGATGGCATCAACTGCGCTCCCCTCCCTACCTCCAGCTGTGTCTGGCTGAATCAGCACCCCCTTCCCTGCCCAGCCTGCACCAGTTCACTGAAACTTCCTAAGTGGCCTACCCTGCCTTAGCTGGTATCTCAACCTTTTTAGCTTATTCAGGATGCAGCAGCATATAAATCAGTGGAACTACCAGCATGTTTAAAGTTAGATGCATAATTGTTTTTAGGATTCGACCTAAGAATGTTTACTATCTAAATTTGTGAATTTACTATTACAATAGAACCCAAACATGGTAGGGCTGGTTTAAATAAAGAAAGTCAAGGTATTTGTCCCAAACACTATGCCAAAATTGGAAAAAGGAAAAAATCTTAAAACTAGTATCTAAGTAGGTAGCCCAACTTTTCAAAGGTGCTGTCCCTCAACAGCTTCCATTAGTTTGAGATGAAGAAACTGGACAGGAGCAAGAATTATGATTACACAGTCGGGTGGGTGGTGAATTGGCTTATGGGACACACCCAGAGAGTGGTGGTGGATGGGTTGGTATCGACCTGGAAAGCTGTGGGCAGTGGGGGCCCCCAAGTTTCGGTCCTTGGACCAATGCTGTTCAGTATCTTCATCGGTGACTTGGATGAGGGCGTGGAGAGCACTCTGTCCAAATTTGCAGATGACACTAAATTATGGGGCAAAGTAACACACAGGTGGGCAAGGAATGGATTCAGGGGGATTTGGACAGGTTGGAAAAGTGGGAAGAACAGAACAGGATGCAGTTTAACAAAGTTTAGCAAAGTGCTGCACCTAGGGAGAAAGAATCACCAACACATTTACAGATTGGGAGATAACCTTCTAAATAGCACAGCGGCAGAAAGGATCTCAGAGTCATAGTAGACTCCAAGATGAACATGAGTTGCCAGTGTGACAAAATGATAAGTAAAGCTAACCGCACTCTATCATGCATTAGCAGGTGCATCGCAAACAGGTCTAAGGAGGTGATACTTCCCCTCTCTGTGGCATTGGTAAGGCTGCAGCTGGAGTACTGCATCCAATTTTGGGCACCCCACTTCAAGAAGGATGTAGATAACTTTGAGAGGGTCCAGAGGAGGGCTACTCATATGGTTAGGGGCCTGCAAGTAAGTCCCTTTGAGGAGAGATTGAGGGACCTAGATCTCTTCAGCTTCCGCAAGAGAAGTCTGAGAAGTGATCTTGTGGCCATCTACAAATTCATCGTGGGGTGGAGGGGGTGCAGCAAGGAATAGGAGATGCTCTGTTTACCAGGGCGTGCCTAGGGGTTACTAGAAACAATGGCCACACACTCAGAGAGCAGATTTAGATTGGACATTGAGAAGATCTTCTTCACAGTAAGGGTTACCAGAATCTGGAATGGGCTTCCGAGGGAGGTGGTGCTCTCTCCTACTTTAGAGGTCTTTAAGAGGAGACTGGACAACCACCTGGCTGGGGTCATCTGACCCCAGTGCTCTCTTCTGCCCAGGGCAGGGGGTCGGACTTGATGATCTACTGAGGTCTCTTCCGACCCTAAAAATCTATGAAATCTAAAAGACGGGTTTGGAGCCAAACATTAAGGCTGTGTAGGGTAGAAAATGGTCAGCTTCAGTATAGTGATGATCATTCTGATGACCACATGAGGTTGCAGACAGGTGTAATACTTAGATGAGTTTAAATGCAGTTTATACCACAAGCGTCCAGACATACTTAGACCATCTTTTGTTTAAAATTCCTGAACTGTTTCAAAAGTATAGCTGGATAATCAAGTATTACTTTGGACAAGTTGTATTATGTGCAGATACCAGGTTTTCCATGACTAGTGTCTGGTTGGTCCTCCAGGCATCCCACATTACACAACTTCTTACCCCTCTACCCCCAATTCCTGTGCAGTAACTGTGGTTGGTCTGGTATACATCCAGAAATCTACTGCCCCAGCCTCTGTTGGCTGTCCTTCACTGTCATGTCCCTGGCTGGGGGCAGCTCTCCACTGCTTTTAAAGAGCTAGTCAATTTCTTTCCATTGGTAGCAGTTTGTAGCAGGGCACTGGAGTGTGCTTGCTCCTTTAAGGGAGCTAGCAGCCTGTGTGGCTGCTTGCAGGTGGTGCAGGAAGCTAATGAGAAGTTCATCTGACTGGAAGAGGACTCAGGCTGTAGCTATAAGCCCAGAATCTGAGCTGGCCAAGGAGTCTCTCCCTGGCAGCCACAAGGTGTGGAGCTCTAGGCAGCAGGGTTCCTGAAGGGACTGCAGCTCCTTAGGACTGAGAGCACAGAAAAGCCCCCTGGGCAGAGAAGGACTGAGTTTTTACAGGCAAGTGGCCTTTGCTTTATTTTGAGACCATAGAGGGTCCTGGTGCCCTGGGAAGGATTAAGCTGGACCAGAGGGTTCCTGAGCTTGGAGAATGGTTGCAAGGCAGACCAGGGCACTGGGAGCCCAGAGTGGGGGTAGCATGCAGCACCAGGGGCATGGGTGCCCAGGGAGAGGGACAGTAGGCAGGATTAGGGGCCCAGGAGCCCAGGGGGACACTGTATAAGGGACCAGGGAGGTCCAAAAGCCCAAGGAGGCCAGAGTGTATGAATAAGCAACGTCATGGAGAGAATATCTGCAAGGCTTGGGGCATGGTGTAGGGAAGGTTAGGAGCCATGCAAGGAGTCCTTAAGGTGACCGATGCCCAGCAGCTGTACAGACATGCTGAGAGGGCCTGGTAGTCTGGGAGCATTAGACTGTGACTGAAGGGGGACCCAGGAGAGGTCCAGTGAGGGTCAACACAGGCTTGGGTTCATGCAGAGCCCACAGGCAGCCTCCCTTTTATAACCTTCATTAAGAGTAAGGTGTGGTGGGCGAGATTCAAGGGAAGGGCTGCAGCTGAGCTTGAGCCAGGCAGGGACTGCACAGCCACTTGGGAGTGTCATGGCTGCTGCTCATAGCCACAGACCTGTTACACATTTAAACTGTGTTCTATGTATTCCAGGCTTTATTTGGTGTGTAAAGTGGCTGGGGAGGAACGACACATAGTGGTGGTGCCTGGATCTCTGCTTTTGTGCTCTTAGAGGCTGGGGGCACCAAGGGCCTGCCCAAGTACTCCACTGCCACCAATGGAATGAAATTGTCCAGGCAGCCAGACATCCTGACCTACACCCTCCCCCACCCCCACCCCTAAATCAGCTTGAGATGCACTGAACTTTGGTCAGTTTTTAGGGTACTGAAGTATACTGATGAGTGTCTTGGTCTAGGCAATTCCCCCAACCACACACAACTCCATACACCCACATGCCCCCCCCCAATACTCCCAGACAGGTACAGATTGCAGTAAAGTGCAGGAATGGGTCTTCACTGAACATGGTGTTGGTAAGAACTTGCACCTAGTACAGAAATTGCAATGGGTCTGGGTACTCACTACCACCTTGGTGGTGGTTCAGCAGCACTGCAGTGCCTGAAAGGTGCCTGTTGTACTTAAAGCTCTTAGCAGCCTATTGTTGGGACACCTCTGACCCAGGACATTTGTGAACCAATTTCACAATCAGTTGGTGTGTCTCTATATGCATTAGATCTGGGAGCAGTTTACTTGTGAGTAAACACTCCTAGGCAGGCATCCACATGTGCAGGGAAACGGTAACAGATTTGCTACTAATGGCAGCAAACTGCTCCCCTTCCTGGGGCTCTTCAAGGGGTCCCTGCTGCCATATGCTCTAGGCTCTGCCTGGGTGCTAGTCCAGGGGCTGGCAGGGAGCACCTGGCCAGGAGACAGCTGTCTCCTGGCTGGGGCTGGGACATTGCATACTGCCCCTGGGGGGGCTGCCTGCATCCAGGGCAGGGACAGCTGCAGGGAGCTCCTTGCCCTGGCTCCCTGATGGGGCAGGAGACTTGGAAAGAGCTGCAGGGGAAGGGCAGGTCTCAGCCCCCTCCCTCGATCTGCCAGTGGGGCAGCTAGCAGCTAGCTCGTTGCAAGCTGCCCCACTGATGGATCAGGGCAGAGGGCTGGGACCTCCCCATCCCTGCAGCTCGTTCCAACCCCCATGCCTTGATCACCCGATTTGGGCATGGGGCTGGGACCTGCCCCTGACCACAACAGTTCCCAGCCCCCACTGCAAAATCCCACAATCAAGGAGCTGGGTGGGGAACAGGTTCCCCAGCCCCTGCCAGCAGGAAGCTCCCAGATCCAGCTCTGCGACCATGGGGCCAGCACTGAGAGATCCTTATCTCCCAGTGCCAGCTTCTGTTGCGGGACTTGGGATGGGAGATAAGGATCTCCCAGTGCCAGCCCCATGGCCTCAGAGCCAGCACTGGGATATAAGGCTCTTCCAGCCCCCTGCTCCCTGATCGAGGTGGTGAAGTGGGGGCTGGGAGGTAAGGATCTCCCAGCCCCTACTCCCTGCTCACAGTCTGGTAGCAGGGGGCTTGGAGCTCCCTGCTGCTGAGGCAGGAGGACATAATTCCCACCTGGTCTCTGGTTGCAGAGCCCTCCTCAGCAGCCGACAGCTCCTGGGGGTAGGGAGCAATCTTCTGCCCCCTGGTGGCCAGCTGACTGGGAGCAGTAAGTAATCGCAAGTAAATTTGCTACTTGCATTTGCACATGTAGACGCCCACGCTTACTGTGTAGTAAACTATGCTACAGTGCAATAAAGCGTCTTGTGTAGATGCACCCAGTGACATTCTTGGAATGGTTGAAATGTGATAACTGTCCACATCCTTAGGGTCTGCTGATTCCCATGGCAGAACTTGGAGGGCTGCTTCTCTGCCTGAACCTTTTGGATTGAAAGTGTCTTTAGTCTCTGAACATGACTCCTCCCTAGAATTCCCCAAATCGTATGTATCAAGAGTGTAGGACTACTGGATCATGCCTTATATCCCTAGACTTGAGGTGGAGTCCATGCTATAACACCTGCTCAGGCTACTTCTGGAAATGCAAAATTGTTTAATCTAGCAACTGTAACCTATTGTACCCATGGTTTCTCTCAGGAATCACTAACTCTTGTTTGCATATGCATATAGCTGATAAATCTTAAATTATTGTAAAGAAACTCTACTGACATCGATTTTTCTAGATGGAGAGATGTTTGCAAATGAAGTGAAGAACCAATTGACTTCATTAGCTGAAGAGATGATGGATCTGGCTAAATTCTCTGGCACTTCTGGACAACTTACAAACACAGAGAGGTTAGCTATTGCTTAGCTCTTATTTCGTTTTTACCTACTGAATCCCTGTCAAGTACTGTGTTCTTGTGCCTCTGTTGCTAGAATCTGGTCTAATGCTATAAATCAGGGCTGTCCAACTGGTGGCCTGTGGGCCGCATGGGGTCCTTGATGAGTTAAATCACAGCCTCAGGCTCCCAGTCTGGGCATCACTCTGCTGCATTATTCTCCTGCTGCTGTGAGCAGGGTCTCCAGGCTCCCCCTTCTTCCTTCAGCTTCTGCTTCCTGTTCCTGATCTAGGGGGTAGGGCAAGGCAAGGCAGGATGGCTCGCAGAGCTTTGGGAGCCCATGCCTTTGTGTGGGCAGGCTCTGTACAGCATGCACCTGCTCAGAAATTAGATATCAGTGTTACAAAGGTATAAATCTGTGCTTCTAAATATACATCTGTCTGTATTCCTGCCTTTGCCTAAGAAACCACAGTTTGAAGCAGGTTCACTTTTTCTACCTAGAGATGAAAGGGTGAAGAAGTTCCTTGTTTTTTGTTTTTGTTTTTTACACTTTAAAGAATCCAACTTAACCAGAAATAGATATCTATCTTTACATATACCATAGGAGATTGGATCTTTAGGTGTTAAATACCATTTTCTTTTTATGATTCAAGTTGACTTTATATTTTGATTATCCTATAAAAGATCTCAACTGGGAGATTCCAGTAAAGTAGTCCTTTCCTTTGTGTGTCCTTGTTATAGAGTAGAAAAAGTCCAAGATCTCTTGAGCTCCTTAGAGCTATACTTTTAGTATTTTCATATTTAGGAACTCAGGGTAGTCCTGTTGAAGATGATGGCATTGCCCCTGTTGACTTCAGCAAGGCTAGGGTTTCATCCTTCAGCCTTCTTCCAAGTTTTCATGTAGGTTTAAACTAAAAAAAAGCGAGAAAATCAATCTTGTCCTCTGATTTAGTTACCAATTCGACATCCCTTTTTGTGTGGGTTGCAGAAACCAAAACTGCTTGTAACAGAAAACTCAGTTGAAAACCTATCCATGAACTGTGGCCTTGCTCCATAATACAGGCTTTATAAGAACTGCATGCAACTACTGAATTAGAAATAGGCATCATGGAGTTGCATGTTGAAAATCTAGGATGAGCTGTGGTTCACAAGAAAAATCAGAGTGAATGTTTAAACTTCAGGTACCTAACTGAGGTGATAATCGGACTGCTTAGAGACATCTTTAGGTTCTCACTTATAAAAAGTATAACAGAAGAGAATCCAATAATACTCTGGTAAAAGTTGCAATTTCCAGATAATAATAATAAAAAACTTCAAGTACTTTGTGGCAGTAGAACCAATTGTTTCCTGACTTGAATAGAATAGAATAGAGTCTTTATTCATGTTGTACAGCACTGAAAGTAAATGAGCTATCAAATGGTAGAATTTAAACAGTAGAGAGTATGTTTCACAATATAGTTTCAACAGTAAATTTGAGGCTTGTGATTTTTTAAACTATTTAAAACTAAACTCTTTACTCTAAAAATGAGCTCTGTGTTCCCATTTTCTTCTTAGAGATAATATCTTGTGGTGTATCTATGTTTCATTTAATTCTCCCCGATATTAATAATACCATATTTACCCAAATCCAAGATAACTCCTGAATTTAAGATAACCCTCCAATGTGGTTATATGTGGAAAATTTATACATTTGTTATACTTTTCCATGTATAGAATCTAATTATTGGAAGATTGTCTTAAATTCATCCCCAGCACCACTGGAGCAGAGAGAGCAGTGGTAGGTGGGCAGGTGGTAGGGGAGGCAGTGCAGGGAGGGTTATGATGTAGGGCAGGCAGTCGGGGAAGTGGTGGGGAAGACAGGCAGTTTGTCCCCTGCTGCCTGTCACCGCCCCCCCCCACACACACACACTTACCCTTCCGTTGTGCCTGCCCCCACAGCCTCTGCTCCCTGCCTACTACCCCACCACTTCCTTGGTACTACCCTTCTCCCCATCTCATTCCCCTGCAGCCTCCTTCCCCTCCCCTGCTCTTGCTCAAGCTCCGACATTGTAGTGATGATGCAGAGAAGGGGGAAAGGGGGGGCGAGACAGGGGAAGGGGTGTGGAAAATTGAGGCTGCGGGTTGGCGGGGGTTTAGCAGGAGTTCTAGAGGCTACAGGGAGCAGGCAGCAGCTTCAGCTTTGGCTCTGTCCCAGGGTTGGGGCTGGAGCTGGAGCTGCCTGCTCCCCCCTCCTCATGCTTGATTCCAAGATGTGGGGGTTCCCCCCCATGTTAAATGGGGATGGGAAACTTAGTCTTGGAATTGAGTGAATATGGTAATATTACACTTAATTTTCTTCACAAATATTGATATATAGTAAAGTCCTTGTGTTTTCATATTATACAATTTTTTTTTTAGCGATAATGCAGTT